GGTCAATGTTATTTTGTATTTTTACTTTGAATAAATTAATTTTTTGAATACTTAAATTTTTTTCATTTGTTCATTTTCCATTTTATTTTAAAGTTGGGAGAAAAAAAAACAACAACTTTGTATTCCAAACTGTGTTGTTTCTTGAAATGCGGAGCTTTATGTGTTGACATGTTGCTTACATTAGTGTGAAAATGATCCACAAACAAACAAAAAAAAAACAACTCAGACATAAATTGGTGATGTATGATTTACAGTGTAAACAGTGAATGGGCAATAAAATGACAACAATATCAGAATGAAGCATATATCTATGATTATGAAAATTTTGAGAACAAACTGTTATCACTAAGCTTGACTTTCATGAAATCTTCACAGAAAACAGAATAAATGTTTCTGCAGTTCAGACACTGTTTGGTAACGAGTGACTGTATTTAGGGATGAATGTAAATGTAGAGATGCAGTGTATTACAGTCAATATGAGCTTGTGTAACGTGTGTTTTCTGTATTTCTCATTTTAATATATTTTAAGAACATTAACAGTGTTATGTTTGTATCTTTTACACAGATTATTGAGTAAATCTCTGAGGTTAAGAGAAATGGTTCAACTTTTATGGAGTTTGGATGATAAACATTTGTATCAGGTCAACAAAACATGGGCATAGTAACAGTATTTTTATACTACATTTATCCATTTTAAATACACTAACCTCACTCCTTTGTAACAACTAAGGCAAAAATCTTTTCAGGACCCCACCTTGATTTTTCGGGACCCCACTTTGGGTCCTGACCCCAACTTTGGGAAACACTGCCCTAAACTGATCCAAAGAATAAATCTCTGCAGATTCCTTTGGTTTATTATGGACTGAAGGCAAATGGAGCGTCCAGCGTTACAACACTGCCACCTGCTGACCGCAGCTCAAAGGAAAGCAAAGAAGTGCTTCAAATGTTTGCAGAATTTATTACAATTCCACCATCATAAAGAAAAAAGCAGAAATTACAGAAATATGTACAATCTATATCTTTAAAATACTTGCAGCGTTAAAGGTACCAGTCGATCTCGGACCTTCCTATTTCGGGTCCAGCGGTGCTTTTTCACGTTCCTTTTAAACACCGCAAGACGGAGACCCCAAGAACCCGTCGACGCCGCAGGTTTTCTGTACGGATCCTCCCAGAGCAGCTCCGTTTCTTCTCCCGGTTCCCTTCGTCGTACAAAAACGTGTCCGTATCAGTTGTTCGGAGGCGCTGTCAGTCGCAGCCGGGTACAGCAGTATGTTTAAGACTTAGATGGGTGGGGGGTGGTACAGGTGGTCCTAACACTGTGTACTCTGGTAAAGGGAAGTGCAAACAACGCAGCAGGCTGTACCTGCTGCTGTAACGACAAATTATCTGTCTAACCATGAGCCTAACTACTGCAGCTGAACTAACACTGGAGAGGTTTGAGCTGTTCACTCAGCAGCTGGTTGAACATCAGTTATGGGATGTGTGGTTTCTTCAGGAGTCAGTTATGGGATGTGTGGTTTCCTCAGGAGTCAGTTATGGGATGTGTGGTCTCTTCAGGAGTCAGTTGTGGGATGTGTGGTTTCTTCAGGAGTCAGTTATGGGATGTGTGGTCTCTTCAGGAGTCAGTTATGGGATGTGTGGTAAAGTGAAGTGATGATGTAACAGTGTTCCTGCAGATTCATTTCAGAGCTATAAAACATGAGTTCCTATTCTGGCTGTGTTTGTTTATTGCTGCGAGACGGTTTGTGTTCAGGCAGAGACCAGGACCTGCTCAGCCTTCTGACCACTAATTCAACGAGTGCATGAAAGTGTCCAGGTTGTACTCAGTGTCGTACTGCTGCTGGTCCCACAGCTCCCCCAGCCCGTCCAGAACCGACCTGATGGAGGCCTTCCCAGAGGCTGAACAGCCCTGCTCCCCCGAGTCTGATTTATCCTCCTGAAACAGGTTGAAAACAACCGTCAGACCAACAAGATGATCTGTGCGCCTCCACTGTGCACCTCCACTGTGCGCCTCCTCCATCAGCCTCACTGTGCGCCTCCTCTGTGCACCTCCTCCATCAGCCTCACTGTGCACCTCCTCCATCAGCCTCACTGTGCACCTCCTGTATCAACCTCACTGTGCACCTCCTGTATCAACCTCACTGTGCACCTCCTGTATCAACCTCACTGTGCACCTCCTGTATCAACCTCACAGTGCACCTCCTGTATCAACCTCACAGTGCGCCTCCTGCATCAGCCTCACAGTGCTCCTTGCTCCTCTCAGCCTCACCCTGGCCCCTCCTCCTCCTCCTCTCAGCCTCACAGTGCTCCTCCTCAGCCTCACAGTGCTCCTCCTCTCAGCCTCAGTGCTCCTCACAGTGCTCCTCCTCCTCCTCTCCTCCTCTTAGTCTCAGCACCTCCTCCTCTCAGCCTCACCTCCTCTGAGCCTCAGTGCTCCTCACAGTGCTCCTCTCCTCCTCTCAGCCTCACCCTGGCCCTTCCTCCTCCTCTCAGCCCCACCTCCTCTGAGCCTCAGTGCTCCTCTCCTCCTCTCCTCCTCTCAGCACCTCATCCTCTCAGCCCCACCTCCTCACAGTGCTCCTCACAGTGCTCCTCACCTTGTCGAGGGTGAACAGGTTGAGCAGCTGCTCCGTGCCCATGCTCTGCAGGCTGGTGTTCTCCTGGTTGATGATGGTGTTGGCGATGCCCATCTTGAACTTCTGCAGACCCATGATCTTCTCCTCCAGGGTTCCTCGTGTGATCAGCCTGTAGACGTTCACCACTCGTTTCTGCAGCGTCACAGAACCAGGGTTACGGGACGTAAACACGCTGAAGGAGCTACAGCAGGGCTTTGGGTTCCACACCAGTACCTGTCCGATCCTGTGAGCCCGGTCCATAGCCTGCAGGTCCCTCGTGGGGTTCCAGTCGTGCTCCACGAACACCACGGTGTCGGCCCCCGTCAGGTTCAGACCCAAACCACCGACATGTGTGGTCAGCAGCAGCATGTCGATGGAYGGATCGTTGTTAAACCTGGGGAGGGCAGAGCATTAGTCCTGTGTTTGTTCAATTATTTTTATTTTAAATTAAAGTTCTGCTGACCTGGAGACGATGGAGTGGCGCTGACCCGCCGGCACGCTGCCGTCCAGCCTCAGGTAGGTGACCGAGGGCAGTTTGGGTTTCAGCAGGTCGTGTTCTACGATGTCCAGCATGCTCTTCAGCTGGCAGAAGATCAAGACGCGGTGTTGGGCCACCACCGCCTCCGTGGCCCCTTCGGATCCTCCGCCACCACCCAGACCACAGTCCAGCAGCAGCTGAAACGGGCCAGAACCACAGTGTGAAACAAAGCCGCTGCACCACGCTGCGGCTGCCCTCCGCTCACGTTACCTGCTTCAGAGCCGAGAGTTTGGGCGCGTGCTGAATGTCACGAAGGCCCGAGTTCTGGGCCGCCAGCTGCTCCGTGATGCGTCTGTACTCTGGATGCTGCTGGGTCAGAACCAGGCTCGGATGGTTGCACAGCTTACGCAGATACTGCAGCGCCTGGAGAAATGGAGACAGCAACAGCACTGTGTTAAACAGATAAGACCAGCTGGTTTTAATGGTAAACAGGTCCAAATGTAGCATATCTGTGAGCCATCATATCGAAAGGAGAATCAAGTCAAATTTGGTCAAAATGACCTCAGAACATTTTCTGACTCTTGGCCTTAAAACTGCATTTTGATCATTCTGATATCATAAGCTTACCCAGAGATACGACTTAATTTGTCTTATTCGTTACGATGATACATTAATATTCGATCTGAATCCTAAATTCATGTTATTTTAATGAGGAAATTTTTATTTCATTATAAAAGGAAATCTCAAATAGTATTTAAATACTGATATTTCCCAGCTGGGAAAAAAAAAAACTTTGCTAACTCTCAGGGAAAATCTCAAAATTTAGAGGGAATTTTCCTCAAAATCAGGTTTTTTGTTGCTACTGCTCAAAAAAGTGCTTCAAATTTTTTTTTTATTTCACACAGTTCATTCAAATAAAAACATTGAGGCATTTATTTGTTTTATTTTGAAGAAATTCAGTTTTTAGTGTTTTAATCAAAACACTATGTTTGCCTATTTCTCCATACACCACTTTTAAATTTACCGTATTTATTCATGTATAATACAATCACTATTTTTTGAGCTTACAAAACATAAAAATCTAAATATCAATAACCCGTGTATAATACTATCYCCCACTTTATGGATGATTTTTAGGGTTAAATTTCTAATATTATACATAAATAAATACAGTAATCCTCATTTCGATGTGATGGGTCACATACATTAGACAATGGACCACCCCCCCGCGGTCATTTAAGATTGTCATTATTATTATTTATATTATTATCAATATGAATTCGTAGATTTTCTTGTTTTAGAGTTAGTTTGTAATTTTTTTGTCTGTAGTATAAATTGTTTGTTGGCTCATTAATCGTGTTTCCATCCAGCTGTAGTGAATTTTTATCGAACTTTTCAAAATTCGCAAAAAATTTAATATGTAAACATTCAAATCTAGACAGTTTCCATCTAGTTTCCCTCTCGACTGTTGTGAATAAACGAGGCTACGCAACGCGTGATTCCGTCAGACGAGGCTACGCAACGCGTGATTCCGTCAGACGAGGCTACGCAACGAGGCTACGCAACGCGTGATTACGTCAGACGAGGCTACGCAACGCGTGATTACGTCAGACGTCGGCGACAAGCTTTGCGGTAGTGTAGGGGTCACCTCGAGTGAAGAAACAAGATTTACTGCCTGGAAGCAGGCCTCGGACAGGCCTGACGAGAGGACAGGAACTCTGTCACAAATTGAACTGTATTTAGGCCATGACAGGTCATTCTAACCGTGGAAGAGAACCCCTCAGTTCTCTTTATCAGATAATGGACAGAACAATCTCTTYTGTTMRTGAWWCATTYKTWGTTWAACWAMRAATGWWTCAYKAACARAAGAGATTGTTCTGTCCATTATCTGATAAAGAGAACTGAGGGGTTCTCTTCCACGGTTAGAATGACCTGTCATGGCCTAAATACAGTTCAATTTGTGACAGAGTTCCTGTCCTCTCGTCAGGCCTGTCCGAGGCCTGCTTCCAGGCAGTAAATCTTGTTTCTTCACTCGAGGTGACACCTACAGTAGTAAACAGGAAGTGAAACTTGCTAACTAGCAGAGGCTAATATCTCAGGAAAATGGAGCGATTTCTTTGTGAATGCCTTGCTATTGGGCAAGTTGTAATTATTCTATCTATTCAGCTACAGGCTATGTTTAACGCTGCCAGGAGACGTAGGGAAATAAACGCAATGTTTTCGCGCATTYATGCCAACATCCGGGACGAGGCAGGAAAGTGGAAACAGTTGAAACAGTGAGGTAAATATGCGCTACGTCAGAATATAATCTGAAAGCATGTTTCCATCTCCCGTTTTGCGCATTAACTACTTTGCAAATCATCCAAAAACCAGTAAAAACTTTTTAGCGAATTGAGGATTTTTTTGAATTTTGCTGTTTCCATCGGACTTTTTTCGCATTTTTAATGMGACACTTCTAAGTGCGCATCAAACAGCCTTGATGGAAACACGATTATTGGCACAGTATGTTGAACAGGCATATGAATGCCATAACATGGATTTAATTGCAAATTTTGTTAATTAGTGCATATGTAAGTAAAACACCATTAAAGTGAGATAAGGGATAGGATTAAATAAGTCTTTACTTCTTCCTACTCCGTCTCAAACAGAAAAGTAGTGCTAATTGGGTTCTTGGTTTTTGTTTTCTTTGTCCTACTGATTGCTTGTTTTCTCATTTTTAAAAATCTGTTTGAAATAAATTTTTAAATAAAAAAAACTAAAAATTTAAATAAAAACATACCTGGAAGACATGACCTGTAGCCTTCAGTTTGGGCTTCTCCTCTTCTTCACCAGAGGCCAGAGAGATGCTGTCATCAACACTGGCCTTGGCTCTGGACTTTGCAAAGTCTTCATAAAGCTGGATCTGCAAAGATGATCATTAGTTCAACTTAAAGTTAGCTGGTGTTGAAGTCAGGGGTGGTTCAGGGGTCGGGGCCACTGGCCCCATCTGAAGTCTGATTGGCCCCCTTAAGTGCCCCGTCCTTTCACTCATCCGTCCTTGCCCAAGAAAAATGATGGTGGCTGCAGTTCCACCTCCAACCACTGGTGGCGCCAGTGAGTCAAATAGGAAACTCCAACATGAAGCAAGCTTAGTTTTTTTTGAACAATCCTACAGAAAAAAAGTTTACTGACAACGATGGCTAGATTTTCTTACATGTGTATTTGAGTGTTTTATTTATGAACTGTAAAAAATCATGTAAAATTGCTGAGTGAAGCTGACCCCTCCCAAAAAATGAACCACAGAAAAATAAAATGCAAATTGGATGAGTGGTTAGTGCATCGTTTGTGCTGCTATGGTTTTATATATATTAAAGATTATTTGCAAGGGTCATTCAGGGGTCACCATCCCACCCGCTCGCTCCAAAATGAACCAAAAATGAACCAAACTAGTTGAATTTTGTAGTGTTTTGTGTGAGCAGGTTTGTGTCGTTGAAACGGCTGTTTGTGCTGCCATAATTTATTAGATATTACACGTTATAATTTCGGAGGATCACGTGTCTGTGACGTCAAACAATTCAGGCCAACGTCCGAAATTATAACGTGTAATATCTTATAAATTATAGCAGCACAAACAATTGTTTCAACGGCACAAACCTGCTCACACAAAGCACTACGAAATTCGACTAGTTTGGTTCATTTTGGAGCGATGGTGACCCCTGAATGACCCTTGCAAATAATCTTTAACATATAAAAAACCATAGCAGCACAAACGACAATTTCAAGTGCACAAACGATGCACTAAACACTCATCCAATTTGCATTTTGTTTTTCTGTGGTTCATTTTTTGGGAGGGGTCAGCTTCACTCAACCATGTAAAACTGATAAGGAGAATTTATTGCGCAAGCTTGTATAAATGTCTGAACACGTGTGATTAAATGTATAAACTTTACAAAAACTGGGGATTTGTGTGCAAGGATGAACAAATACTTGGCCCCTCTGAATACTGTGGCCCCTTACGCTGTAAAATCCTACATCCACCACTGGTTGAAGTCTACTGTAGTCAAATCTGAAATTCGACACCAGGATAGGGATGTGAGTTTTAAATTAAATACTAGCTGTAGAGAGAGAAGTACCTGCAGAGGGCTCAGGTTGCAGTAATAGTCCTGAATTATCTTAGGAGGAAGATCCTGGAGCACATCCTCCTTCATCCTCCTCAGAAGGAAAGGCAGCACCTGTCGATGCAAGGCTTCCATAGCCAGGACTCCTAACGAGGAGAACAAACCATCAGAACCACTAACAGAGTGCAGGTTAATTAAAAACATTAAAGTTCCTGTGACATGCATTTACTTCAAACACAAAAAGTCAAAGAAAACATTTAAATTTAAGAAAATTAGCTTAATACACATGATTTTACCCATTTTGYCTCATAAATGGCATATTTTCTCTTGAATTTGGCTCAGCAAAGTGAAACAGGAAGTGACATCAAAGGTGAACTCTTTAAGAAAATAAACTCTGGTCTTTGTTTATTGAAACAATCTTATTTAAACTCTTCTTCAACTCTGATAGTGACTGAAAATAATCTAAAGAAACATCAGATTCTTCTCTAATTATTGTAGCATCACTCTTTGACATCACTTCCTGTTTCTTCACATGCAAATATCTCAAAAACTGTTCATCTCAATGGCGTGAAATTTGTTTTGCAACATGTTATCAATGTTCTCTTTCCAAAAACACATTCACATTTATTACAAAAATATGATGTCACAGRCMCTTTAMAAGAGAAGAGCCAACATACCTGCTTCCTGTTCTCGTGAGGAGCTCTTGGCGTCTCGGCTGGCCAGGATGGGTTTCCCGTAGCGAGCAGCAAACTGACGCTCCGTTCCCAGGAAGCCCGGCATGAGGAAGTCGAACAAGGACCAGAGCTCCAGGACGTTGTTCTGAGGACACGAGGGGACAAACGTCAAGGCGTCCGTGGAGTCAAATCAACAACACGTGGTGCTGAGCGCTCACCTGGATAGGTGTTCCTGATAAGATGACTCTGAAGTTAGCAGCTAACTGTTTAATGGCTTTGGAAAGTTTGGTTTTCCCATTCTTGATAATGTGACCCTCATCGAGAATGCAGTAATTAAACTTTATGTTTCTGAGGAGGATACAAAACAATAATAATAATAATAGTAGTAGTAGTAATAATAATAATAATAATAATAATAAACAGGAGCGCCTCTATGGGATAAATCTTGTGTCAGCAGGAAGTGAATCTGAATCACTCAGATTGAATCTGAATGTACAGAATTTGAAATTAAATGCATTGGTTTGAAAATAAATTTTACTAAATTGAATTAATTTGCTTTGAAACTGTATTTTGGTTTATTAAAACTTCAGTTTGACTACTTTCACTTTCAGTTCCATAATTCAGGTTTTTGTGTCACATCCTGG